TTCCGCTACTCCACTTCCATTAGATAGTGTGCTCCCCCGATATTTTCCACCACGAGAACCCTTTAATATGACTTGGGTCAACGTTGTGGACCATATGCGCCACAATGGAGCAGCAGAAACAACAGTTTCCAAGGTAATTCTTCATTTACCCTTTTTTTGGTATTCAGAGAGCCATTTAGGAAAAATGAACCATAGTTTTGTGGTTCGCATGTGCCCCTATATCATGCAAAACCGTTTTGAAAAAGCTTGGCACACCCTGAACGACCTCCCTGGTCAGTTGAACTGAGCAGGTTCTTAGCACGCGAATATGTTCCATACCTAACCTTCCACCAAACTATGTAAGGGAAGTTGAGCGTTGAACTATCTCTTGAACCAATGGCGAATTTCCATCAGAGCTAGGTTAGATGCTGATTGATTGGTCATATTTCACTCCACACCGATACTCAATTGTGGAAATTCTATAAACCGCTAAATCATCCGAGCTCGATATCAATGCTAAATGTTTACGAAGTCATGATAAGTACCATTTCATTCCGCATGCTACTGCGCGCATTACGCGACAATCTTCAGCGAAATTGGACAACCTTTGAACTTCATGTGACACATCTTCCAAAACATCTTACTATTATTTCACGTGACCTAATATTCTGCCGAGTTGTCCAGTCTCACTGAATCCCACCATGCGATGCGCGCGGTTGCTTGCGCAGCTAAACTGGTTTTGCTGATAACCTACTGGAGTTGTTGGACCTTCAATAGGGCCTAAACGTGGAATCAGTCAATGAGTGCACTGTCTATATGGATAACCTTCTATTTTAAAGGAGGAATTCACGATTAGAATGAAGGTCGAAGAAAGGGAAACTGACCTAGTTGAGGGACCCACGGACCTCCTGAGGGTGCGAACTGACGCGCAATTCGCATGGAAAAATTTGACCTCGGCGACCTATCATGCCTCAAAGCTGGCGGGTCCGGCGATCTCCGCCCACCGATCATCTGATCACTCGCCGTAGTTCAATACGTGGCGAGTGATTAGATAGCTGAGAGAGCGTAGTGTTGAAGAGGGCACAGCGATGAGAGTCGCATCAATGCTCAATCAACGGGCAAGGAAGGGGTCCCATTTCTCGGGTTCCCGTTTCTCATGGTTCTTTTAATTTGAAATGGTTTGCTTTTTCATCGTGAATTCGTATGCTTTAAATTTATATGAGTTTCTCTCTACATCCTAAGCGCTTTAAATTTATAGAGTTTCTCTTCTACATTCCTAGCGCTTTTTTACTCAAGCTTTTTTACCTCTTCCATAGTGTTTCGATGACGCTCAAGGCACATGAACTCCTTGGTAGCACGCCATTCTAGGGATAAACCACAGGAGTTGCGATGCTTTTGCTCGTTAGAAGACGAAGACAGTGGCGTGCAGTTGCCATACGTATGGATACCACTTTTTTCAGAATTTATCTGCTACGTCATCAATCACCACTTCTCGAATCCTATGCAGCGGAACAACTTCTTTACTATAACCTTCTACTATAACCGAGTCTCCGCCTAGTTTCAGGAATGGCAGTTAATACTTTGGATCTAAACGTTTTTGTCAGGACCCCGCACATGCTTACCGCCGCCGCCGTCGAACATCATACACTTACTCTCGTCCCTCCATGTAGCGTTAGGGCCCTATGGGGATCTCCAGTTCAGGTGTGCGTTGAACCGTTCCATCTCCGACCACTTCAAAGTCGAAGAAATTCACAGGTTAACGAACTGTTGAAGGCGGACGTTTACGTTTAGGTTCTAGAGTGTTGTGTATCCCCAGGTGTGGCAACCGCAGACCAGCGCCTTCGTCTTCTAGCATTGGAGCGACCAAAAGCATCGCACCTCCACTGTGAAGGAGTGATTCGCCAGCATGCGTGCTTCTAACGGAGCGACCAATTCAGTCACATGTCCTGAGCGTCATCGAAACACTGTATGCAGAAGTGTAGAAAAACCTTGGCAGAAAAAGGCCAGAAATATGGAAGAGAAACTGTTTAAGTCTTGAGGAAAAATTGAGGAGGTTGTCCCAACAGACAGTGCATTCATTGACTTGTTCCACACTTAGGCCCTGTTGAAGGTTTCAGCAACTCCAAAAGGTTATTAACAAAGTACTGAATCTGCTAACGTTTTCTATCATGCGAAATTGTTTTGTTGAATTGTAAGCTTTTTACAATAATTTGAAATTTACTTGGAATTTGGTCATACTCGAGAATTTCTAGTGAAATGACTTTTTTCTCAATTCTTTCTCCCTAAGTTCTAATACACTTGCTTAGTGAAGAAGGATTGCTCCTAAAACGTATGAAAATTAACTGGTTCGTGCCAGCAGAAAAAAAATCACAGTCGAGGAAGTATTCCACCGAAGACTTCTGAGCGCTACTGTATATGCTTAAACTGTCACCCCCCCCCCCCCTCCGTCCCTCCCCGCTTTATTTTTAAATTAGCAATGAGAAGTTAGCAACATGAAAGGAAGTAACGTTTCTCAGAAAATTCAACATTACCAGAATTATGCTAATTCCCTCGTTCGGATTCATTCTGCGAGATTTACCCTTTGCCGAATATGCAATCACAGATTTGCAGACATCTTCCATAATACCTTCCTCTCATAACTTTTATACTTCCAATATTGCTATCGCATCCACGAATTAGGATTTACGAAATGGGCGCGTTATGACATACAACGAACATTTTCCAGTTTTTTTCGACATTTCTCCCTTTCAACGATGACCTACGGGACTTAAATGAATTATAGAGCCGTTTTAAGGAAATTTGCATTCATACCTCCCCTCCTGATCATTTTTGAGACAAAAACTAGAAAATCTGAGAGACTACTTATCTGAGGAAGTGTGAAAAGCAGCTATGGCTGCAATGCATGGTACTAGCGAAACACGCTGTTGAATCATGAAGTTACTCTTAGCATTTCAAACGTGCTTACCTGCCTTTACTTCTCACATTCTTGAAAAAAATGTATAAATTTGGATTTCTGCAATAGTTTTGGTTTCCAACACTACTCTGAGTGTCGAAATCTCTTCTGATATGAAATAAACCAATGAAACTTCAGAGCACTTCAAAAAAATCGACCCTTCGTCCTTGCAATTTTAAGTCATTGCTTCTTCTGCTTTTTAAATTAGGCCTTGCATGATGGGGTAATGAAGTCCCAGAAGACCAAGTGTTTGTTTTTTCATGCCAAAACATCTTTGAAAAGTCGCTTATTTGAAAATTGATAATTTTCTGATCACTTTGCCCATTCAGTCGCGCGAGACTGTTGAAAATAGCTAAATATGAGCTTTATAAACTAAAGTGTTAAAACTGATCCACAAATCTTAAATATGACTGCTTTTAATTTGACAGTGTGGTGAGTTATGGGTTAAGGTCGCAGTCAAGTAAGCGGTGCCTACCCAACTTAGTGAAAGTGAGCTGCGAGGTAACAACAAGGAAGAGTGTGCAAAGTCAAGGCTGACTAGAAGTGTTGGCCCCTCTAGTGCCAGCTGCGTCACCTTGTCATGACACTTATTTTCTCCAAATGCGGTGTAAACTTTAGTGATAGTGGTTGTTTAGTGTCCTGATTACGAATATGCTATTCATTCTTGGCGCTGACGCAATTGACGCCTTTTTCCGCTCGTTTGCGCCCTTTACTAATTAATCACTATCACTACTAAGTCTTTAAGGAGAGGAGGGTTCTGAGTATAAAACACTCATCTGGGATCTCACATGCTTCAATTTTTGCCACCCGGCAGGAGAACGAGAAATATGCGTCGAAAAGTGCTAATGCCGAGAAGGAATGTCATATCTCGTAATTGGGACATCAAATAACCCCTAACAGAAGTTTACACCGAATTTGGTGAAAACATGTGTCGTGACAAGGTGGCGCCAACTGGCGCCAGATGGCGCCACCGCTAAAAATAAATGTCATGGTAACCAGGGCTCGAATCACCCCTGTGGATAATGTTTCGACAGAAAATATTAGGTGGCAGGAAAAGTTCTCGCGTTTTCAAAATTACTAATTTTTACCTGCTCAATGCCTTTGAGCAGCTTAGCTTGTGCATATATAAGGAGATGTGTGCAGTTCAGTATATTATTAGCTATTATCCTGTAGCTTATCGCATTACTGCAATATGCAATTTTCATAACAGTACTTTCATGACCTTCTGCTAAAAGGTTGGCGAATCAGCAGCCTAATCCGGTCGTCGCATCAATACTGCGTATGGAGGAACGTAAGGTATCCGAATGCACTGCACTAGGTCAGTTTAAAAGCTTCCGCGATGGGGACCCCTACCTTGAAAGTTCGAAGACGTCGACTCGAGGTTGACAATAATCGTTTGCGCCGGCTGGTTTAGGTAGACCCACGGCAAACTACGAGGGAACTAGCACAAGTCTTGGGTGTTTTTTGAGGGGCCATCGCCGGCCACCTGCCTTATTTGGAAAAGGTGCACAAGTTTTCCTTGAAAAAGTGAAAACAGTAGCTGTCCATAAACCGCAGACTTTCCCTACAACCTGTAGAACATTGAGATTTTGGCGTTGTAATAGTTGAGCAGTGTTTTGCTTTCACGCGGGTATCTCGTAGCTACGATACCACAGGAATCGACTGAAAATTCATCATGACACGTATCAGCGTTTGTTTGCAACGAACATTTACGATAATGAACCATAATCTGGTATTTGATTCGGCCAAGGTTGAACAAGGAGAGATAAGGCCGCTGATCTTCGCTGTTCTCGCAGCGCACACAGTTATTGGTTTTCGTCGTTTTTTTCTCACAGATTTTCATTCTTAGAAAATTAGCTTGCCATTAGAGCTGCTTTAGAATGTACATTTGCACGATATTGTCGGAGTGAACATTTTAAGGTTATTTCGTTTGTTAATGTGCGTTTTCTCCACACAGAGTAGGAAAGAAAAAATTGTGTAAACGAAGCTAATAAAGAAAGTTCTGCATTCTCTCGTTTTTTTTGTCCTTACGTTTAAACCTGTTTCAATAAACTACCATTTCAGTAGAATGCTTGATTCCACCGTACTCGATGGCATTGGTTGGAAAGTAACAGGCGATTTTGTCGCGCCCGAATCGCACAAGCGGGGGCCATTTTATCCACGATTCTCACAATGTTAGAAATGATTCCTTTAGTAGTTAGGTGAGTTGTTTCGGTTACTCAAAGCTTCGAAATTTTTGTTGCTACTATGCATGAGTTAGGGTCACGTTCGTAGTTCGTGACTGATCCGTAGCGCTAAATACGAAAAAATGCAGGCCGATTTGTACCGCTCGCGCCCTCACTTTGTTACTGTTAAAGTGATATAGGGGTGCTCAATGATACGCGAGGGACGCAAAAAAAAAACAGAGAAATCTATCGAGAAGACGTAAAACGGGACCCCGTGTTTGGCTGCTGATTTTTATGGACGAGCTACGGCTGAGGCAGCGAGCGTATGAAAGAGTTTACCGCAACGCGTTTATGGCACCATGCATTCGAGTTGTTCCAGTTTTGTCTTTGCTGGCAACACTGCTCACCCAAATCATCAACTTAACTAGTGGGTTGGGCGCTTTTTGGGCGGAGCGCTTTCCAAGTACTGCTCAAAAACAAGCGCAGCTTTCGTAGTGAAAGCTCCACAGCTTCTTCAGTGAAGCTACTACTTCGTTTAGCTCATATGCTTCCCCTCTTTATCGTGATCGCATCCTTTAACATTGTTTCATTTCGGGATTTCTTCGACGCTGTTAGATGGGTTAGGGTTATTGTGGATTAGGAATGAGCTCATCAAATCGAAAATCAAAGAAAATTAAATCGCTGAACGCTATACAAATTGTCTACAGAGAACACAGCAGGGTCCTAAGCAGGTAATTGTCGTACTTCTTCATTGACGAGTATTTTTTTGCGTCGGCTAAAAAGTCAATCGCAATCTACGGTTTGTTGAAATCATAAACAATGCTTTTGCTTGCAAAAGCAATATAACTTCTCTCGCGACATTTATAACAGCCTATAAAACCTTGGTTCTCTCGTGACGTTTATAACTGACCATAAAACCTTGGCGTCGAAACACTCTTCGTAACCGATCCATACCAAATCGTGGTAGTAGTTAAGCGTGCTTTGCCTTGGCGAAAAAGTTGCTGCCTATTGCGGTCGGCCTTCTGGCTGTCGTTCTAGTTAACGATTTGTCTCTTATGGCCCGACCATTCAGTAAAGCGTCGTCGAATGCTCCGTAATCATCGCCTCGGCGACATGGTGAATATCGGTTGAGAAAATCCTCTAGAAAGGATCGTATTTGTCACGGTGGGCAACGGGAGGTCGTAATCATGGCGACCGCTGTATTTTAAGTATGTTGTAGGAGGCAGGACGAGAACATATTTGGTGGGGTCAGAAAGTGATAACGACTGATAAGATCCGATAAGAGGCGCCAAAACGCCAATTTCACGATATCCATAGCGCGCGTCCCAGCATCAGTGAGGCGTTGGTTCCAAGAAGTGATGTAGAGGGTGGGACGGGAACATATTTGGTGGGCAGAAAGTGATAACGACTGATAAGATCCGATAAGAGGCGCCAAAACGCCAATTTCACGATATCCATAGCGCGCGTCCCAGCATCAGTGAGGCGTTGGTTCCAAGAAGTGATGTAGAGTACAGGGCGGGAACATCATTGGTGGGGAATCCCAAGTGATAACGGTCGATAGGGGCAGGATATGATTCTGGGAGAACCCTGATTACTATCCGACCGAGATAAGCGCCGTATCGTGAGAAAATAATACGACTTTATCCAGACGGGTACGGAAATCAAAACTTCTTCAAAAGTTAGTGTCTCAATGGAAGCAGTTTCACGTGTTTTACAACACGCTCGTGACAGTCCATGTCTGGAGGATAAGAAAAATACGCTTTCAGTGAAAAGAAATCAGAGAGAAAAACGAGCCATTTTTCTTTGAAAGCTCAGCCAGTTCGAGTGAAGCGGTGGCATTCTTTCATTTGCGACTTTTGATTTGCGTCTTTCTTTCTCTTAACGTTTTTCTTTCTCAGATCGGTTTTCTACTTCGTAGCACACATGTATGGAGAAGAAAATGATCAGGAGGATGGTCAGAGGTTCCAAAATATCACAGATAAAAAAGTGTCCTCACTTCGCTCTACTTAGCAAAACTTTTTGAGAAAAATGGCTCGTTTTCTTCTCTGATTTCTTTTCACTAAAAGCGTATTTTTTATCTTCCAGACATGGACTGTCACGAGCGTGTTGTAAAACACGTGAAACTGCTTCCATTGAGACACTAACTTTTGAAGAAGTTTTGATTTCCGTACCCGGCTGGATAAAGTCGTATTATTTTCTCACGATACGGCGCTTATCTCGGTCGGATAGTAATCAGGGTTCCTCCCAGAATCATATCCTGTAGCATCCTTGAGAAATTTGTTCGTTATGAAGTCACCCGACAAATTCCAGCGTGAGCTGACACTTCAACAATTCCTGCGTCTCTTTTGCTAGGATTTTCCTTTTACGGAAGTTCGACAGCGGTTTTGCCTTTGCTATAAGCTAAGGAACTTGAATGGGTAATAATTTCAAAATTTGATTGGGTAAAAGCAAAATGCAGCAGAGAAACATGTGGTGGAACTATGATTTTGCGTCATAGGCAAGCGGGTATTTTCGAAAAAATGAGGATAAAAAATTTTTGCTTTCTCAAACTGGATTTCCGTGATAATATTCAGATTCGCATTTGCATGTGTCACAATTTGTCTGTAGAGCCCTTTTCAAAAACATCTCCAAATTCTAGTTTTTGGGAAATTTGTAGGTGGAACTAAGATTATGCGTCGCAGTGTATAGCAGCTCCGCCTCCCGCCGAGAAAGCGCTTACGGAAAGAGCGCCGCATCGACGCGTGATACCGCCCCTCACCCGAGTTTCACTCATCATCGCTGATGATCGCCATTGCCGTCATCGATGAGGCGATCGTGGGTGAAACGCCATCAAGGGACGCTTCTGTTTGGATAAGATCCAAAACTATTAGTGTTTTTGACCGCCCGAATGGTTCATGTGGTAAATCGTACACATGTGTACAGCTCATCTGACCGTCTGATAACGATCTTCGGACTTGACCTAGTGAGCGTTGCAGTTGATAGAATTCGCGCGGATAAGCCGCTTTCAAAAACTTCATCAACGCTGCAATCAGCAAGGCAGGCCAGGAAAGCTTATGGCTGCAACTTCTACCAAGTGCGGCGGCCGCCACTCCATTTCCGGTGACACGCCTACTCAGACTTCGTGATGTGGACTGTACCGATACCGAGTAGTCAAAGGGTTAACTTGTTCAGACCATCTTTACCGCTGCTCTAATCGCGACTCTATCCGTCAATGATGTGTGGGACTATTATCCGCCTCTAAGCCACAGCGACCGCTTCCTGTAACGTGCGAACGAGAGGAACAACACTTTCTCACACTCCCAAAACACCACTTTCTCACACTATCGAAACACTGATGCCTTGTTCAAACTGGCGCGCCGCATTGTGCGAACTTCACACCGGCAAAACCCCACCCCTAGTCGCTTAAATACTTATTCGCTCATTCGCCTGATCGCATGTGCAATCTCAACCATGAACGTTGCGTGAACGCTGGCTGCAAATGCGATAGGTTTAGGAGTAATGTTGTACATGCAGCAGCTTAAAGCCACGAGTCAGGATTAGGTGACCATAGAAGGCCTTTCCATCACTAATATTTCCAGGAATGCGCTCAGAGGGGTGATGCCACACTCCTGACTCGAGATTGCGCGCCGTCAAGGCCTCTGGCCTACTACTTACAGCGATGGGTTCGTTTCATCAGCTGGTCCCGCCCACCGCGGGATGTGGTGCGTGGCTGGCCTAACGTGTGAGATCAGCTAGGTTGATTGCCGTATCAACCGATGGAACGGCTGGCATATCCGGAAAACTCGTTTGGACGTGGCTCTCCCCCGAGCAAGCCTCCTTCACTGCTAGAAGGGAAGGGGTTTCGATTTCGGTCTTGTCGACGGTTTCTTTGCGTTTTTTCTTCACTGTCGTTCCACCTCCCATCTCTACACTCAATTTCAGGCGCCATAATGCCCAAACACGAGCCTGACTTTTGCCTTTAATGTCGGCGTATCTCCCTTTTCATTTTACTATTGTACCTGCTGAGAATTATTTCAGGTACTGTTACTTCGCAGCTAAACAATGGTATAATGGAAGAGGGTTATTTATTAATTGTTTCTCTCAAATGAAGCACAATCAGTATACGGGTTTGTTTCCGAAGGTCCAGTCTTTTATGCTGTTGTAACAAGTTGTTTGTTGCAGGTGTTCCAATTGGTGGTATCGGATGTGGATCGATAGGTACGGATTTTCGTGGTGCTTTCAATAAGTTTTCACTTTTACCGGGTATTAAAGAGCAGTTTACAGAAAACATCAAAGCTAACCAGGTCAGGCAATGTTCACTTTTGTTACACCATAGGCGAATCTCTCATGTTCCCGTCAGATGTATTTCTTCCTTCAATGAATTGAAACGGATATTTCAGTTTATTCTCACTGTACATTCGTCCGACGGAAAGGAATTTATTTACCAAACGCTTCTATCTGCGGCCGACTTTGATGATTCTACGTTGTCTGACTGGTGCTCTCACGTTAATGGCGAAGATATCAGGTGAACTCAGTGCATTCTCCAACACTGGGCAGGAATTCACCCCAGCGTGGTGCGCAGTCCATTGGGAACAGCGTTTACGTTAGAAATGTGAATTGTACAGTATCCTCTTTCTAAATCCCATGCTCAATATAGGGAACGTTGATCGTGTGTGTGCCGAGTGTGCAAGGTTAACCGTCTGATGGACGAAATTCAATTGGGATCGTATTCGGCCGACGAAAAGGGGGGTCGTTCGCCGAAGTCAACGTCGCAATGCGTGGAATGACAAAATGTTACACAGATGCGAAAAAGCTCCTAGGCGTAGGCTCACAGCTCCAAACGGATTGGAATCAAGATATTTGCTCTCGCGACACTAGGGAGGGACTTTCGAGTGCTTCTCCAACTATGACCACAAACGAGTGCATGGCGCACCTCAGAGCAGAAGAGTCTACTGCAGAGGTGTTCATATTTGATTGTTCACCTACACAAATATGCTTTCAAGGAGAACCAATACATTTGTTTGGAAAAATACTTGCTGTTGGCGACTTCCTGAAATCGGTTTAGCATCTCTTACAAAGTTTGTGCGATGTCATGCTATTATTGTTCCCCATGATATTGAGTTTGAAGAGAGCTTGAGTGGAGATCAAGAATACATTAGGAAGCTCTAATCTTCTAGTTTTTTTTCCAGGTAGTGACGATTTGCATAATGTCAATCTGAGAAAAGTCATAACAGTTGTAGAGGCCAAAAAAACCAGCGCTCTGCCAAAACCGGTTCGCAATTCTCCAAAAATGATTCAACGGGACGATTTTTTGACCCCCATCAACTTTAAAATGAGTTCATGTATCCTCCCCTTCAAAAAGCGAGAAAGTGTCGGGTGCAGACCATGCACCACAAGTGACGACGGCCTTCACAAAATGTTAATGTTTTCTGCCAATGAAATGATTAGCCTGTTGCAGTTGTATTCTATCGATTGTCACTAATTACAATATCATTTACCAGAAATCAGCTATCATTATGAACAACTTCTGAACCAGATTTACTTTGAGGCCGTCGTCAGTTGTAGTGTTTGTTGTGACTTTCTCGCTTTTTGAAGGGAAGGCTACTCAATTAAAGAGATCCATGCCTTCAAATTTTTCCAGGGGGTGAAGAATTTCAAAAAGTTGAATCTGAAGAAGGTTATAGTCATCGAAAACCAAGAAAACTCGGTTGTGCTTGAAAAGTTCAGAGTTTCAACTTCTTTTTTTTCCATTTTTCGCACACTAATTTGAGGTTTAAAACCTTCTAAATGAAGATGTGCGCATTTCTGCGAATTCCTAATTTTCTACCCTATAACCAACACAGTTCTGAGGGTACTGCCCAAACGTGGTAATTTTCTCAAACTAGCAGTCTCGTAGATCACAAATCTACTTAGCGCTCTGAAAGTTTTGGTATTGAACAGATTTATAGTCACTTGGAAAGTAGTAGTCCACCTCGGTCTGTCCGCGCTGGGCCGGAAAGATTGCGCGCGCCAAAAGTGTGCGATCGCTGCACTCCTGTGCCCCATTCGCACACTTCTGCGGTAGATTCTCCTGCTCTGGGATGCGCCATGCACTCATTTGCAAATCATAATCATTGAAAATATTTCTATTTCGACATCTGTTTATTTATCAGAAAAGAAATATTCTTGTGGTTCCGGAAAATAGGCCAATCTTGTTCTGCAACAGTTGAGTGTTGGGGGAGTGGGATGGTCTTGAAATTTTTAAATCGGTCCAACATGATGGTTGACCCTGCGAGTGTGGCTGCGACTATACACACGCTTCTAACCTGTGGTCGGCTGTTCATGTAAAAATGTTGCAGCTAGCTTTAGGTTGGTTAGGCACAGGTCAAATGTTAGGCGACTGATTAAGCCCCTTCAGCACTCTATCAACACCAAACAAACGTCAGTGCCTTGCTCATAGTTGAAAGCATCAATTCTGTGTTGATATGGAAGTAGACTCTCGCTTACTTGAGTAAATTCTTACATGAGCGCAGTTCTTTATAAAACTGCAAAAGAAGTTTGTAAGCAATCCGCGTCAGTGAGGACTACAAACATGTTTGTTCAGATATCGAGGCCTTTTTCCTCGCGCATGGCGTGAATTCCGGATAGCTGACCTTGACTTGACACTTATATGTGAACAGATTTCGCCAATTATTCCACATAATTATGAGGTGTTGTCTTTTTCGTAATTTTTTTTGCATGTTTACCTGGTAAATTTGGACGACGTACAACATTCAGTGCGTTTCATTTTTGTTGGAAAGCCACAATGCTTGGTCACAGGAAATGGAGAGCAATTTTCAGAACGAGTTTTCTGCTCAAGTCCGTGTTTAGGACAGCTCCTTTCCAGTTTGCAATTTCTACTGGACCATTATAAATGAATCAAAAAACGATTATTCGATATCACTAACATTCACGTTCCGGAACGGTACTGGAAATCCAAAATGGGACAATGAATCTGAGTGCGAGTAAGTTGACGATGGCTAAATTAGCGTGACATTTTGTATCTAAAGCGTGTTTTGGTTTGCAGAGCTAATGAGTTGACGACGAAGTCCGCAGCGGGAATGACATTGAGCCATTCAATCAACTCGATGCCGGTCAATTACGCCATA